CCGTTGATTCAGTTCGTAACAATATTGGAGCTTCAACAAATAGCAATGTTGAAACTGGCTCAGGTAAGGAAATTGCTTAGTTTATATATACCGCCATGTTAAATTTGGAGTTAAAATTTCATATGTGTCAGAAATATATGGACTCTTGAAGTTTTGTGGGAACAAATGTATGTATAATAAATGTAATTTTTATTTGATTTTTTTATTCTAACAGAAGACGATGATGAAGATGAAGAATCCACATCATCACATCACAATCAAAGAGATGTTGCACCTGGTTGTTCACGCAGCGGAAGTCAAGACAATTCAAATAGTTCACAATCAAACGGAGCGCCAATGAAAATTCCATTGATTGACTACATATTAAATGTTATGAAATTCGTAGACGCCATTTTAAGTAATAACTCAACTGATGATCATTGTCGTGAATTTGTTGCACAAGGAGGCCTACAACCGCTTTTACAAATCTTGTCATTGCCAAATTTGCCTGTAGATAGCCCTATAACAGCTTCAGCACAAGCAGTTGCTGCTGTTTGCAAATCAATATTGGTAAGTAAAAACAATTCAGTTATTTGAAAATTCAATTCAATAATAATGATCTATGTTAAAAAATTGTATTTTAATATTTTCAAATTGATATGGTTTTTTTGGTTTACCAACTATAGAGTTTAGCACATGAACCACAAGTGTTAAAAGTTAGCTTAGAACAATTGGCCACCGTTGTCGATCAATTGGAACCACTACAAAGTCATTGGGAACAATCTCAAGGAAGTGTATTGCTAAAGGAATTGGCAAATTGCAAAAACATTGAATCGGCCTTTTCAAATGCATCTGAAACGCCATTGTTACATGCAATGAGTGCGGTTCATGGTTACGTTGTGATGTTGGTTCATGTTTGTCGAACGGGACAAACGGAAATCCGTAATCTGTTGATTGAGCAATGGGGACAAGATAATAAATATGGCCAGAAATTGCTGTACAAATTAGTTCAATTATATACAGCCTTAGTATGGGAAAGTACACTTTTACTTGCATTATGCACAGATGATATAATTCCAGTTGGTTGTGACTTTGGCAAAGAGGATCTCGATAAATTGGGCGAACCTCCATCGGTACCAAGCCAAAGCGGAACGCCCGTCATACCGTCTGAAGTCAGTTTAGATACACCAATGCCATTAATGACAACAACACAAAGCACTGAAGCAACAGCGTCTATAAATGAACTATCCATGGATATTGATCGAGTTCTCAATTCAACATCATTAGATAATGAAACATCATCAACACTGGCATCAACAACAACATTATCAACAGAGACAGCAAGTATAACGAACAAATTTGATGCTCCATTGAATGCAACTACAGCCTCAAGTTCCAACAAACCGTCATCAATTCAACGTCGAATTGTTGCAACACCAAGTCAGTTGCGTTACATAAAGTCCTTGCTCGGCGCTTCATCACGATTGGGTCGAGCTTTGGCTGAATTATTTGGCTTACTTGTTAAGTTATGTGTCGGCAATCGGATGCGTATGCGACATCCCCAAAACGTTGGTAATTATATGTCATCTGCATCGCGTGATATTGCTCGAGTGCTCAGTTATATCTTGGTCGATGGCTTATCGCACGATCAATTACCGCCATCGCCCATACCAAAGCTAAAGCAAACATTTCTCATTTGTTCTATCGGTTTCACAAGCCCAATGTTATTCGATGAGAAACGTAATGCTTACCATTTAATGTTGCATAAATTTTGCGAAGAAGGTGGTCTGCAGGCATTCTTCGAAATGTTTGGCTTTGCATTAAGCTTGGAACCAGACATTGTTAAAAGTAACAATGGAAAAACTGCGTCGTCAAGTGATACTACTGAATATACAGAACAACAAGAAGAATCGTCATTAAAAGACACCGATGATCCAAGCGAAATGACACAATCAACTACCTCCGCTACAACCATTCGAACAGCGGATGATTTAATCACTCCAAAAGAAATCTTCACGAACAATGAACAGCATGGTGAATTTTCGTCTGGAAGTGGTGAGTTCTTGGATGCTTGGCTCATGCTACTCGAGAAAATGGTAAATCCAAAAGCCGTTCTTGAGTCACAACATGTGATACAAACGAAATCTCTACGAAATAAACCAGAATTCGATACGGTCATATATTTGATAAATGTACATAAGCTTGCTTTTCAAACTGTCACCAAAATTTGGTCATACAAACCGATTCGAACATATGGTGCTCGCATGACTGAATCCATGCTAACCATTATGAAACACATCTATCAGGGTGAACCAATTTTGCGAGAAAAATACAATAAGAAAATCACCGAACAACCTTTATCGAACAACGATAAAACAAGTATTAAATTTGGTTCACTATTTCCACGATCTGGCAATACAAATCAGCCAGATACTGAAAATACAAATAGACTGACTTCACGGGGTAATCGATCGTCAACAAGCGGTGTTGGTAATATTAATAATACGGTTAATGAAGCATTTTTAACACAACTCATGGAAATGGGTTTTTCACAAGAGAATTGCCGTGAAGCACTTTATCATACGGGCTCAATGGAACAGGCTACTGAATACTTGCTAACTCATAGCGGTACCTCTGGTATTAATAATCCAACGAATGAAAATCAAAGTGGAGTAGGTGTTGATTCGGACGATGATGAGAATGTCGATGCCGAAATGGTGGTTTTGATGGGACAATCGACTGATGCGAAAATTGAATCAACTGGAACATCATCGTTTACAAAGCGCAACCGGCGTGGAATGCGTAGTACCGCAACAGTTTTACCAAACCAACAACCGCTTTCGGAACAATTACTATCCGATTTTGGTGAAGAGGCTGTTCATACATCGTTATATTTAATTGATCAAGTACCTGATGCTGTATTCAAAGGTTCCGAATTACTTGGAATTTTATTCAAACGAGCCGATATTAAATGGAAAATGTTAGCAACAATAATTTCAACAATGATCGATTGTGCCGAACAGTTACGTTCTATGCTTACCGATCGTGTTACACCGCACGAAACAATTTTCTTTGGTGAAGTCGGTTGTCGTTTTACCGTTCGATTGCACATATTCTGTCTATTTCTTGAAGTCTCACAATACCACGACCTTCGAACGCCAGTAATTTTATCAATAAAAGAGTTCAAATTGATGCCAAAATTGATTAGTTTGCTGAACGAAACGGAAGATGTGTTAACAGCAAAGGCCGGAAAATCTCTTTATACACCGAAATGGTTATCACAAATGATTTTGTTGATTGACCTATACGAAAAAGTTGTCGTTTCGATTCGTCGCCGAAATGAAATGCATCGAATCACAACAAATAGTGAGTGTTATTATTTTTACCTAATATTTTTCATTTTCAGAATAATTGATAACCATTGACAAATATTAAATTATTGCACACCCTTTCAGCTTGGAAGTGGTACGATGTACAAAGTGGAAAATGGAATGCATACACAAATGGCAATAATAAGATAATCAATGATGCATATAATAATGGTGAATCAACGGTTCGAGTATCTGTAGGTCGCCATCGATATACAATAAACTTCAATTGCATGTCACAAGTAAATGAAGAGACTGGAAATCATCGACCTGTTGTTTTGGGATTACTATCCTCAGTGAATTCGCAGCGTATACCAGATCACGTTTCAGCTACACTATCACATATTCTTGGATCAGATACTGAAGAAAATTCCAATATAAGCAACGACGAACAAAAACCAAAGGTGAATCGAACAATAGAGAAACCGCCAAACGTAACAGACGTAAGTATCATTTATTTATCATTTGTTTGGAATTTGAAATATAATAGCATAATGTTTTTTTTTCTGGGATTTTTTAAGCAGATATCGTCGCCTGGAATAAAGTCTCAATTATCATCGATAAATTTACAATACAACAACGGACAGTTGGACCGTACAACAATGGCATCACTGTGTGAAATGCGTGAAAATCATTTAAAGAACGGATTTCGAACGTACTACACATCATCTGTGGTTAATAATCCAAAGAAAGAGAGCAGCAACGTATCGATAGTTACAGAAGATGATGCAAAATTACTCGGATTGGAGGAATTTTTAACAGAAAACATTGTGGCCACGTGTGTTCGTCTTATGTCACCAAAAATTTCTGTGGATCGTGATTCATTGCATGCACTAATGATGCTTTGTGTACGACTGACAACCAAATATCAAAATGCTGAAGTATTTGCTCGTGAAGGCGGAATCAAGCTGTTGTTAGAAATGAAGCAGTCTGGAGGATATTTGAGAGCATCAACTTTGGCCAATTTATTGATTCGACATACACTTGAAGAGCCGCGTACTTTAGCAATGGCAATGGAAAAAGTGATTGCTGCTCGAACATTGCAGACAATACCACCTGGATATCGAGATTTAATCTTTATGCTACGTCGAATGAGTTCCGCCGTTGCCCGTGATCCTGATATTTTCAAAGAAATAGCTCGATCGATGCTTCGCATCGATATAAATACATTACGTCGTGGTGTGTTTAGCGAAGATAATCGCTTGATTATGAAATCAGTAGCATCATCAAACTCAAAACGATCAACAGAAAAGCCAAATGAAAACTCAATCGCCGTTAAAGTTGTATATGATTTGTTGCAAGCACTTATTGTGCCTATCAATTCTGCTCAGAAGCAAACATTCGAAGAAAAGGTTACGACAAATGCAGCGAAAAATCATAGCCGTCACACAAGTAGTTCAACTTCATTTAGTACATCAACAAATACTGTATCATCCAACACGACCTTTGGAAGTAATAATAACAATAGTAATTACTTGGTCGATGACAACGATATATCATTTATTGCAATGTCGTTTGCTGGCCCCAGCAACGATACAAACACAGGTCATTCCAGTCGCTTGGGCACGATGCAAGGTATACTCACTTAAAAATTACTATTCCATTAATATGTGTGTAATATGTTTTGAGACTAAATTGAGACGTTCGCCATTTGAACAACAAACACACATTAATAAATTCTTTCCATTGTCTTCGATTTTTCGCAATATGCGCCGAACCTTCAAAATCATGCTTTGGCAGAACGATTTGTCGATTTTGATTAACTTCCTTTCAACCCATCCAACCAATTGTTGCTCGTTTCAAGTATTTTGGACCTTCGCCTATAACATACATCTAAAAACAGACGAAAAATAATTAATTTGGAGTCTTTTTGTGAAGTTAAAAAGATGGTCCTTTTTTCATGGAAATGCTACTTTTTAAGAAGTGAGCCAATATTGTGGGTTTTTCTGCTTGCAAAGCACAATCTTGTCTTTAATCAGATAGTTCTCAACGAATTCCATCGATTACAACTATATTTGGTTGATAATGGAGCATTTAATGGTTTAACCTTACGTTTCAGCACTAAATTTTCGAATAGTGGCTCTAAAATACCTTCCGATGAATGTTTCACTATCCAAAATGATGAATTTTTCAGTGCAACATGCTATAAGGTGAAGTAAACACCCAATTTTGGACACCCTTTGGAATTTTTTCGTAACTTATTTTGCTGATTACTAATGATCGTGTCTAAATCTATTGTTTTTTTTTTTTTTTTAATTTGGATGTGCTGTAACCATAAGAATCACCAAAACTGAATTTTTACTTGACCATCCCGGTTTTCAGTACTTGATGACAATTTTGAAGGGTTTGAGCATTTAAATTAGGAATACGACCGGACTTTTGGCTTTTTCTAGAATCTTTGTCTTCATATTAAGTCAATGAAACACGATACATGGTTCGAAGACAGATTGGTTCTTAGCCGCCAAAACCATTTGAGACACTTTTTCGTAAATCCAATTTGTACGTCATCGCGAATAGAAATTTTTGTGCAAATTGTGTTCGACAGTAGAGTAGGAGTCCCGTTAAGTCTCCTATGTGCATTGATTGACATGTTTGGTTTTGTATATCTATTGAAAATATCGAGAGGAGAGTATGTTTTTATTCAGACATTACTCAGCTATAAGCGCTTAATAACATACTCTCTTCTCGATATATTCAATAGATATGTAGCGTAATAAACGCCCGAATTTAGTCTCAGAACATATTACACACATGTTATGTTCCATTACATGTTGATTAATTTACATTATTTTCATTTTTTTTCTAATCTACCTAGGTACGATGCATTTAATGGGTGGAAATGAATCGTCCTCGTCAACATCTTCAAATAAACCACAAAATAGTATGCTGGCAGATGGATGGAATGGATCGAATACAAAAGGAGAGAATGATAAACCACTTTTGTCTAAACTTACGATCCTTAAAACATTGGCAGAAGCCGTACGATCGTATTCATCAGTTGGTGTCATTATTGCCGAGTATACATATCAGCCACAACCAAATACCTTGATTCGCAAAGCCCAACCAGCACTTGCTTTCATTTTGGACAATCTCTTACCTTCGACTGAACAAAATCCAGACAGAGAATGTTCATCCGGTGCTCGCATGCTGATCGCAGCACTTTCTGCAGCGATCGATTCACATATTACCCAGCTCACCGTTGTAACAGAAGTGCGTGCAGCTATTTTGCGTGCTCTTTCATGGCCAGAAATACCCGAAAAGCATGCTCAATTGCAATTACTGACTGCTTTAATTCCAACAATGATCGAAAACTGCCCACCCGATCAAAATCCTGCCCTGATGCGATTACAACAACAACAACCCCGTCGTAATGACATATTCAATATCATGGTGCGCAAGGGATTAATTGCTAATCTGGCAAATATCACACAGAGCTTGGATTTGTCAAGTCCTCATACAATTGTGACAATTGGTACGGCACTAAAATCGCTTGAACAATTGTTACGAATGTCGAATCAATCGTCTTCACCTGTGCAGTTCAATAAAAGTCGAACCACAGACATTGATGCAAGTGCAAGTAATCCACAAAATATGCAACTGGATGAAAATCAGAGACCAACCATGAATGACCCATTAGTTTTTGATGAAAATGTTGCCAATGGTATATATTATTCATTGCGCTGAATATCATTCGAGTAAGATTCTAATCTAATTATATGCTTCTTATTTAATTTCAGAAAATTCAGCTGATGATGAACCAATCAATGAGAATGAGGATGGAGCAATAGAAGATGATAGTATTCAAAATGCGAACGAAGTTCTAAATACAATCACAGTAGATGGTAGTGAAATTGAAACAGCTGGTCCAATTGAGCTGCCAATCAATACAAATGAACCTGAGGCACAAGACTTTATCGAGAATCCACGAGTTGATGTACAACCAATTGACTCATCAATGCTTGAAGAGATTCGTCGTCGAATATTAGATCGTGAATCTATACTTGATGATTCGGTAGATCGAACCGCACGCGGTGTTGCTACATCAGTAATTGCAGCTGGTAATTCAACGAATAATGGTAGCGGCCTTCAACCTATCGAATTGGCTGAAGAACGGTTCATCCTAGAAGAAGATGACACCAGCAGTGATTCTGATTCAAATGGATCCGAAGAAAATGACGAAGAACGTGAAGAAGAATCAAATGGTAAAGAAATTCAAATACATTAACATATTTTTATTTATATAAATAGTGCAAATTATTTTAAACATTGATGATCAAAGGCCAATGGAAGGCATTATTTTGGAACTTGGTTTAGCATTATTTTATGCTAGATCGTGAATTTAGGCGATTCTTTTGAATTTTTACATAATTTGGATGTTTTTAATTTACACACTGAACCATATGTGGAAAAGATAAAAAATTCAAGGGGGATTATTAATTATTTGGGATTTCCAAAAGGATTAAAATGGTGGTGAACTAAAGTTTAATCTTTGATAGAACGTTTTGCTCATTATTTATATTAGGTTTTGATAAAAAAATCAGAAGTGACAACAAATAGTTTCAAATATAAATTTTTATGTCGAATTCAATTTCAATGACAAAGAATAACATCAATATGATTTGTTCAAATAATCTCAAGTATTGCAGTAAATGTTGCGATCGTCCACTGTACCACGATTCCTTGTAATTAATGGTGGGAATATTTAGTTCACGTTTTTCATATCGACACCATCTCAAAATTGACACCATTTTTGTATTCCGCACAAAAAATTACTTTTAGAAAATCATACCTCCTGAACCCCCAGAGCACCCCTTGTACCCTGAAATCGGGTACAAATGTAAAAAATCCAATTTTTTGACTTTTTGACCCCATTATGGTCATTGCCATAATGGGTTACTTCTGGGTCTTTTTTACCCCCAAGGAGAGGTCTTCGACCCTTCTTTTGGCGATAATTTTTTGTTGTCTCTTCAAGGGCTACAACTTTGCCGAAGAAAGTATTAGAATATTTTGCGTCGTTTAAAAGATGTAGATGACCGTACATAACACAAAAAGGGGATTTTTGGCACTTCAAGGGGGCGTATCTGGGGGGTATATGAATTTGGGGGAAAAATTGATGCTAAACGTGTTATGTTTGGACCCCTCTACCACATCCAATAGGAATTTGAAAAAAAAAATCTGATACGCTGAGCATGTTTACTCGTAAGCTTACCAAATTTCAAAATGTATATCCATTCATGTAAATGTGAAGCCACCACACACATACCCGCTTAGGTCATTACAGTTGAACTTTTCTATAAGTTTGCACTAAAGTGCGTAAGCACTTTTTATTTTTATTCATTTCTTGCTTTTCAATCCAAAACTCAACAAATAGGTGAAGATGAGAATGAAGATGAAGCAGAAGATCGTAGCGATTTAGAAGTAGATGAAGAAACTAGACAGTATATTGAAATGTATGATGTATACGGTCGCCATTTATCGCCAAGTATTCCAGAGCTAGAACGAGACAATGAAGATATCTTAATGATTCAATACGCCGACAATGGACGAGATGGAAGTGGAAATAATGCGGGTAGTTCAAACTCTGTTGGCGTTAGTGTTAACGTAAACGTTGATGTGGAGAATGATCAACCAAGTTCGTCCAATAGTAATGTGCCTTCAACTAGTGGAATAAATCGGGTAATAATAAAGACTATCTTAATTGTGTGCATGTGTGCATATAAAACATACAATTTTAAAATTAATTTTTCAAAATCTTTTCTATTCAGACGAATTTTCCAAATATATTTGAAACAAACAATATAAACCGTCATGAAGAAGGAGTTTCAGCGAATGGAGATGCCAGCAATGAAAGTGCGACAGGGTCACAAAGTACATCAAATGTTATCGGTCGAATTCACATAACAACCAGTAATTCACGTTCGGGAGGCTTTGGACCCGGTTCGAATCAACCCAATTCTTTATCACAATTGATTCAATTTCGAACACAACGAAATGCAAATCGCCAAAGACGATGTGCTTACTTAAATTTGAATGGTCGCAACTCAAATCCACCAGCAATTTTGCAACGTCTATTAGGTCCAGTTGCACAAAATGTTAATATTGGTCTTGGCCAGGTTATTGCAAATGCCAATGGATCAGCTTCATTTAGAGATGCGACTCGTGTTGTTGTAATGGATAATGGATTTGGTATTCTATCAAATTCAGGTGAACCATCAATTGATATCGTTGATCAAACTGGTTACTTATTCGGTCGTAGCTTAGCGGCGACACTTAATCAAACGCCTTCACCATTGCACTGGTGGCTCGAAGAAGCCAAAGCATTGGGTATTGAATCTCAAGCTGATGTATGCTTAACTGTATGTAATGAACTCATTCCTGAACTAGAAGCACAAAGATCAATGGAGTTATCAAAAACTCGAAGCAAACGAAAGAAAAAGTCACCAGGGGATAACACAAGTAAGCAAACACAAGGACAAAAACAAAAGAGTTCTTCTACAATTCAAAGCACAAACAACACTGATACTGAAATGGTATCTGCATTGGCGGAGGTTTTACCATCTGCTACAAGTGAAGCGCCATCGCTTGGAAATGAAACCGAAGAAAATCAACAAAACAGTGAAGTTCCAAGCGGTTCGGAGGTAGAGGATGAGTCAGGTAAATAAAAATATATTAGTTTTTATTATTCAATAACAATATGATAATTGAAAAAAAAAACAACTCGTAATTTTTCTATATTAAAATAGCTCTTTTCTCTTTTTTATTAATAGATGATGATGATTCGTCTAAAAATGATGATGAATTAGATATTGAAAATCAAAATTTGGCTGAAGATCGAGTAGTTGCCGATGATGACGATGACGATGACGAATCCGATGAAAATGAAGATGAAGGTACATTTTATGTTAAGTCCTTCAAAAAATTATGTACATTGTATAAAATAAAAATGGACTACACGTAATTTTTTGACAATTTTTTTAGATGAGGATGAAGATGAAGATGAAGGAATTCATCCACTGCCTTTACGTTCCTATGTTGAGTCAAATGAAGAAATGACTGAATCTGACTGTAATGTACAGGAAGACGATGAAAGAACAGGTATGGTCTAAAGATACGCATTTTAGCCATCTCCATTCATTAATGGTTACAAATTAATTTAAATAGGAGGTGGATCAGCATCAGATAGTGGACGTTCGATAGCCTCATCTGTATCTACTGAACCATTCTTCTCAGGCCAAAGCATACTCACCGAACAGTCATTGATGGCAGGAGTAACTGCAACGGCTCAAGGCTCCGCATCGCAAACACCAACATCAGTTCAAAGCCAACCTGTAGTTGAAAGTGAATTTAATTCGAGCACCAATAATAATGAACAGAACACAACTTCAACTGTTGAGCAATCAACATCACAGCTCACAGAAACAAGTGAAATTCTAGATAAAAGTGAATCAAAAGAACAAGAAAATGTTAGTAATGATGATAATGCAGACAAAGATGTTGTTAATGTTTATTCTTCAGGTGTTGAAGGTAAGTACACTTGTTTATCTGATTTCATGACAATGAAAATATACTTTTATTTTAATCACACGTAAATCTTTATTCATGTAGAAAATGCAGATAGAAAACGCCAAAGACTAAATAGTGAACAACAATATGACGGCCAGTCCACATCAAACGAAAATGAAAATGATAACAGAGAAGATTCAGAACAAAATCAAGCTTCAATACAGCATATACCAATCACTGAAACAGAACCATCATTAAGTGAATCAAGTGAAATAGTCAGAGAAACGAACGGTATGCTTTTTTCTCATAGTTGAATATTTCTATTAAAAATTTGCAAATCTATACTTCGACAAATGTAATATTTTTTTAACTAACAAAAAATTAACAGATGAACCGAGAATAGTGCCAGAGGAAAATGTAACACAAGAACAGCTGTCTACTGTTACCGCCAATACTAATAGTATTAGTTCAAATGCCAACGAAATTGGCGAGGGAACATCATCAGGAACCCAGATTGATGGTAATCAAATCCCTGACGGAATTGATCCATCATTTTTAGCTGCATTGCCAGAAGAAATGCGAGCTGAAGTCATAGCCGAACACTTGAGAATTCAACGCATGCAAGAACGGACACGTTTGCAGCAACAAGTGGCCGTTCAAAATGAGCAACAGGCCGTGGCTGAAGTGAATCCAGAGTTTTTGGCTGCCCTTCCACCAAGCATTCAAGAAGAAGTACTAGCACAACAAAGACTTGAACAACAAAGATTGGCTGCTGCAGCTGCAAATCCAAATGACCCAGTCGATGCCGCAGCGTTCTTTCAAAATCTTCAACCATCGTTGAGGTATTCTTTTAAGTCTTTATTCGTGATTTCTATTCACCACAGCAATGAAACGACAACAACAATAACACATATTTTTACTGTTAAAATTTTGATGTCAAATGGTGTCGACATTGGTGACGGTATTTTGAAACAGACTGTGTAATCCATATTCATCGTATATTATCCTATGTAAAGTTCTATACTTGATCTAGTTCACATTGATAGTTCAAATCATTTATGTCCACTAGCGTGGACATGGACTGTGTGTTTCTTCTGTTACATGTACGTTGTAATGGACAAGTATAGTTTATAGTAACATGGCGTCGTTCAAATAAATTTAAAAATCCGTCACTCGTGTCAACACCATCTAGCACGGTAGTAGGGATTTCATTGCTGTGCTATTCACAATTCATTACAACGATATATATTATATTATATTCGTCCAAAATATCGTAATGTTTGACAGTGATAAAAAACATATGTGTTTCTCATTTTCAGGCAAGCAATTTTGACTGACATGGAGGAATCACAGATTTCGGTGCTAACTCCAGAGTTGGCAGCTGAAGCACAAAACCTACGACGTGATTGGGAAAGTCGAAATCGTCAAATAATGCAAGAGCAGATTAGTCAAATTGGATCTGGTGGAAACAGTGGGAACGTTGGAACGTCACCTAGCTTTTCGTCAGTACTTCGCTATCGTAGTCGTTTACCCGAACCAATTTCTTCTGTCAATTATTTGCAACGAATGCGATGGAATAATTGGCCAATTAATCCTGGCTCGGCCACAATTTCAGTAGATCGGGATACATTTGGAGCTGGTAGTAGTTTATTATGCATGGAACAACAAGGAAAACCGCAATTGGACCATGAATCCTTAACATCATTGTTAATTTTGCTATTTGTTGAAGCAAATAAAATCTGTACTCTTCGTTTTCATCGTGTTATTCGTATTCTGTGTTCGCACATTCCAACGCGTGACTGGATCATTCGAACGATTCTATCCATTATAGAGCGAAGCAATCAACAATCAAGACAAAGCGAACAGCAACAAACAATAATTAATCGACCTCATTGGCTTAACATTCGATTGGATGCTGCTTTAGGTAACCGAAATAATATATTCATCATCAAAAAACTCAGTCATTCAAAAAACGATGACGAAATGCTAATTGACGATGCCACCGAAATATCATCCAGTGAATACTCGATTGCTATTCATCCACAAGCAGCACAAATTGTTTGTCGTCATGCACTCGAACTATTGATATCGCTAGCTAAAAATTTCCCAGCCAATTTCTTGCCCATCAAAAAGAAGGGACGTACTAACAAAAACGATATCAATCTTGATGAAAATCAACCAAGCACCAGCAGTTTAGCACGATCATTGAAAGATTCAACACAACAAGGGAAATCAACAGATTTCTGGGACATTTTACTTCGTTTAGAAATGAGATCGCGGAATAGTAAATCATTTAATACTTGCGATGCGTCAGTAAGTCCAGCGAAAGCCGAAGATTTCATCGACATCGAAATGAACTCGTTCTCTGAATCACCATTCGGTCAATTGATTTCGATGCTTTCATTTAATATAATTCTGAAAAGTACATTGTTAACAGATCGACTATTGAAATTGTTGTCATACATTTCGGTTGGATTACCAGATGCTGTTCAATTGGCAACAACAATTTCAGCGATGCCAAATGCATTTGAATCACCGTCTGAAGACAATAATGAAACTGGCGCCGAGACTAATGCAACAGACAATAACGCAAGTACATCTGTTGCCACAGCTACAGCCTCAGCCACAATTGAAAATACGACAAATACATCATCAGCAAGCCATCAATGTGTGAACCGTTTGAAGTCATCACCAGTTGAGTTGGATGAAAAATGTTTACCAGAATCACAAGATAGTTTACGTTTAGCAATCGAAGTGCTTACATCAAAATCTTGTTCAGAAGAAGGACTCGAAGATGCAACTTCATTATTACTGAATTTAAGCCAGTGTTCGAATATAACACGAACGTTCATTCTCAATTTATTAATAGACGGCGCCAAATATTTGGCCGGAGTAGTTCAAAATCAAATTAATGACTTGATTTATGATTTGAGGCAACTTAACCAAAGAAATCGGACTGAATCAGGCTTATCACCGTCAAATTCACAGCAAATGCCAATTCAAGAAAATATAAATGACTTACAACAACCATCTACATCAAAGGCAACATCAGCTAGTGCCAGCAAGGGTATTTTACAGGACCGTTTCACGAAAGAGACTGTTGTAATAACATCTACATCTAAACAAAAGATACGTTGTGAATTACAATTACCTTCTATGGTACCTTTGATTTCGAAGACGGCTAGTCAGTCGTTCTTCTTGCGCATACTGAAGGTTGTCATTCAAATAAGAGAGTCAGCCAAAGAGACACTGACTAAAGAATTATCAAATCAACGACAAGGATCAAAGAAAATCATACTGAATTCTATTGAACAACAGCCACTTAGCGAAACACTGCAATTGGATTATTTGTGGAACACACTCAGTGATTGTTTGGTTGAATTGGAAGAAAATGCCGATCATCATGCTGTTCTCGTACTTCAACCGGCCGTAGAGGCATTCTTTTTAGTTCACGCTTCATCACAACCACAACAATCATCAACCGAGCAAAAGAAGTTTAACCAGGTAAAAAATATAAAAAATATATAAATAAACATTCATTTAGCTTTAAAACAGGAAAAAAATACATTTTTAAAACCATCAAAACCAAATTACATTCTGATTTTTTAATTATTTTTTTATACAGAACCGTTCTCAAAATATGGTAGACACTCAAGGTCAGAGCGCAGAGAATACCGTTGATGGCAATAATACCTCAAATACACCAGAAAATAGTGAGATAACACCAGCAGTCAACGATACATCTGACGGAGAAAACCGTGAAATGGTATTTTTTTAATCCTTCTTTCCATAAAATATGTTTTTAAACTAGTTTTTACCGTCCATTTTTTGGGTTATTTTAGATTTCACCAATTTCATTATTCAATATGCCAAATAGCAACTCATTTCCGCAGACAAGCAATGAAAGTGCACAGTCCCATAGTTCAAGCGATCAAGAGAAAAGTAGTAACATTTTAAATCGTCTCGGTATTCCAACACAACAACAAGCTCCAAAAGTACAACTCACTTCAGACCAAAAGAAGTTCTTGCAATTTGCTGAAAAACATCGAACTGTGCTTAATCAAATATTACGTCAATCGACTGTCCACTTATCAGATGGACCATTTGCAGTGTTAGTTGATCACACAAGAATCCTTGATTTTGATGTCAAACGTCGGTACTTCCGAACTGAATTAGAACGAATGGATGAAGGAATACGACGTGAAGAATTGGCAGTACATGTTCATCGTGTAACTGTATTCGAAGACTCATTCCGCGAACTATATCGCCGTAACCCAGAAGAATGGAAAAATCGGTTTTACATTGTCTTTGAAGGTATTATATATTATTATATAAATATATATGTGAATTTAAATGTTTCTATTTTACAGATGAAGAAGGCCAGGATGCCGGAGGTTTGTTACGTGAGTGGTATGTCATAATTTCGCGTGAAATTTTCAATCCAATGTATGCACTTTTCACTGTATCGCCTGGAGATCGTGTCACTTATATGATAAATCCATCAAGTCATGCCAACTCCAACCATTTGTTCTATTTCAAATTTGTTGGTCGAGTTATCGGTAATTGTTTCATTTGCTAAAATAAAGTAATCATCAATTGATAGACATTCTTTTATTCCAGCTAAGGCAATCTATGACAATAAATTGCTTGAGTGTTATTTTACACGCTCATTCTACAAGCATATTTTAGGCATTGAAGTAAACACTCAAGATATGGAAAATGAAGACTATGAATTCTATAAGGGTCTCGTTTATTTAATGGAAAATCATGTATCTGCATTAGGATACGAACAGACATTCAGTTTGGAGGTACAAGAGTTTGGTGTAACTGAAGTCCGTGATCTAATTCCAAATGGGCGAAACATAGTCGTAAATGAAGATAACAAATTCAATTACATCCATTTGGTGTGTCAATTGAAAATGAGCGGTTCAATTAAACAACAGTAAGCCGATTAAAAAACTCTTCTAGTCCATTGAAATTCATTGATGATTTTATTTTTTGCATAAACAGATTGAATGCATTCCTCGAAGGTTTTTATGACATTATCCCCAAACGATTGATCTCAATATTTAACGAACAAGAGTTGGAACTATTGATATCTGGTCTGCCAAATGTTGATATTGAAGACCTAAAAGCAAATACTGAATACCACAAATACCAAGCAAACTCAATTCAAGTAAGTTTTTAGTTATAAGTTAAGTATATTTCTCTTAATAATTTATTTTCTTTTGATATAGATTCAATGGTTCTGGCGTGCTCTGCGTAGTTTCGATCAAGCTGATCGCGCTAAGTTCCTACAATTCGTGACGGGTACATCGAAGGTGCCATTACAAGGTTTTGGCGCACTGGAAGGAATGAATGGTGTACAAAAATTCCAAATTCATCGTGATGACAGATCAACGGAACGTCTTCCATCGGCTCACACATGGTAGTTTGCAGTTTATTTATTTCAATTTTTGTATTGATTGAATTCATAAATAATTTAAACTATTATTTTTTATAGCTTCAATCAATTGGATCTTCCCGTGTACAAGACATACGATAAATTACGATCAAGTCTATTGAAAGCCATTCATGAATGTTCAGAAGGCTTTGGATTTGCCTAAATGATCAGAATTGGAATCAAATAGTTTAATTAAACAACTAAAACATACAAAACAATGTCATTTGATGTCATAGGAAAAAAGACAGAATTTAAAATAAACAGTGATTACAACGGAAAATTTGACATGAATGAAAAATCCATGTTGTCATGAATGACATAGAGACTAGTAGCTTGTCATCGACCGTGAGCAATGATCAACAAAAATTTTAATTTTGAATTTTTTTACACATACACAAAAAATTATGTAAGTAACAGATATAGATATAATAAATGAAAAAATAGGATTCAATAAGAAATGATCAGAGAAGAATATAGCAACTTATAATAAAATGAGAGAATCGGATAAAACGGATTGTATTACTGTAAACGTATATCTAAGTGATATTAATTTAAAATAATTCTGTCTTTGAGTAACATTTATGTCATTTGAATCCAAAATAAAATATGAAACAAAAAAAATCATTGAATTTGATGCTCGTAAACCTTACATTTGTATCTAATATTGAAAAAACATTTTTGCATACTCAGCACTATAAAAGAAAAAGGTTCTCAATACATCGAAATATTCTTCAAATATATGAGAGACATTGTCATAATAAAATCAACTAAGGATAACGTGGAAATATTTTGGTTGGTATTGGTCATTATTAGTTGACAGTTTTGAGAGCGAGCTGACGACACTAAATATTGGCATCGAATACATCAGAGTAAGCTGAGATTTCAACGAAGTAAGTCGCTTCATAAGAACTCGTTGTGGCCAGGGACCGGTTCGTGCATATATCCATGCTTGCCTAGATACGCTAGGTAGCATAGATATGCCAAGCATAGCGGCAAATGCAACCGACGCATCGCCGTCCACTCTGTATGAACATACACATGTTCGTGTATGCAGGCGGCCGTGCTTCGAGAGACGTACGCATAAGATATAGCTCGAATCGAATGGCAACGGGTACGTTGCGGCTTGCCTCTCCGCTGTGCTTAGCATATTGGGGGTGTGAATTAATTTCCATCGTTTTTTTGTTGAAAATGAAAGTTTATTTTAAAGAAATGAACCAATGTGTTTTATTCAAAGTATTGTCTATCGCTAGCCACTACTTTGGCCTACCTCTCAGGAAATTTTCAGATTCCATATCCAAAGGAATGTTAGTTTTTTTCAGGGATGTATAGTCGAATGTCCGCACATGTGAAAGTCGAAACTTGGGACTAGGTTTAAATAATTGTACCAAAAATGTACTTAATTGTACCGCAATTTATTTTTAATTGTACCTTACTCGTTTGGCTAATATTTGAGGTTCAAATTTCGGGGTACTTCAATTTGCCGGTCAACTAGCCAAAATAAAACTCAAAGATATTTTTTAAATTTTTATGGCTGATAATAATTGTACCTAAAATGTACCTTCAAAATAACATCATCATAAAGTCATTACTTCGATGGTGTTCTTCTGCAGAGCATGTCCTTCAAAATTCACGAGGGGTTTCCCGAAAAAATGGCGAAAATGAAAATCAACGATAATTTTTCAAATTTTATGGCTTATAATAATTGTACCAAAAATGTACTTAATAGTACCGCAATTTATTTTTAATTGTACCTTACTCGTTTGGATAATATTTGGAGCCCACATTTCGGGCTAACTCAATATTGTGATAGAATGACGAAAACAAAACTCAAAGATATTTTTTAAAGTTTTATAGCTGATAATAATTGTACCTAAAATGTACCTTTCAAAAAAGGTTGGTATACAGAGTATATATTTCAAAATTCTTAGAGATGTTCCCATAATACAAAATATGAACAGGGAAATTGATCAAAGGACAAACTTGACGGTAAGTACACTTTGTTATTATAAAAGTAATTGTACCATACGAAATATAATTGAACCATGCTAATTTCGAATTGTACCTCACTGAAACTAATTGTACCATGGTAATTTCGAATTGTACCTCACTGAAACTAATTGTACCATGCTAATTTCGAATTGTACCTCACTGAAACTAATTGTACCATGGTATTTTCGAATTGTACCTCACTGAATCTAATTGTACCATGGTAATTTCGAATTGTACCTCACTGAAACAATTTTTAATGATTTTGCAAAAGTAAAAAAAATCACTTTTTTAAAAAAATTGGTAATTGAATTTTTCAGCAAGTTTCTTGTAATTGTTCTGTTAGTTTTCAACCAAAAACGATCAGCTGACATCAATAAAGATCATCTGTAACACTTTTGATGAGTTGTAATTCGATCAAATTTGATTACGTCACCCATTTGGCAGAATCGCGGATTTTTGGATTTCTCGTCAATTTTTGTGATTCAGCTCAACTCACATATGGTTTTTTATGCTTGAAATTCTTGAAATAGATCCCACCTTTACAATCAATCCCAATTCAATACGAAATTGATTCCATTTGTAAATTTAGAGCGATATTTGATTAGTCTTATATTGTTCTTCAACCAAACTTTCCTTCATTTCGTATTCGCTACAATTTTCACCACTTTTAGGATATGTAAATATTTGATATCGATCGCATTATTCATATTTAGTCAATCCATAACTTTTACATGCATTTAACGTAGAATTTTTCGCAAAAATAAGTGAAATAATTCAACTTGAAAGTTTTGGAGTTTTACACCAAATTCACCACTCAGTGTTCACCAAACTCAACATTTTTGTGTTGGAAACGCAAGATCTTGTTAATCTCAAGGTTCCATAATGATTATATGCATTTCTGATTGGATTAAAGTGAAAAAAATTAAATTCCCGCAAATGATGTTATTTTGAAATGATCTCAGATATTTTCGATGCAGTAAAAATTTGTGATGTTTGCAATTCGACCAAATAAAATGTGCTGATTCTTATAGCATTTTGACAGTACTTTGACATAAACTCATTGAAATTGTCATTCCAATTAGAAAATTCAAGTTACTCCATCGTGCGAAAAACGATGGAAATTAATTCACACCCCCAATAGCTATCAGGCATAGAAATATGCGCGAACCGGTCCCTGGTTGTGGCTGTCATTTTGTGTGTTTCAGTGCATAACTGTGTTTTGTATTGGGTGTATCGATTAATTTTTACCGCTGACTGTTAGATTTCGCCACTTAAACTTGTATGAAGTTTGACAGGTGAATCCAATTGCATTTTGTACATGTGACATTTGCCAATCTAATTCAGAGCAGAAAGATTTATTTTCGACACAGTGTCATTATTTTTTCATCAATTCAAAATGGATCGCGATAAAATGTTTTTCTTCCTTCCTTTTCTTATTTGATACGAAGAAAACTGCGGCTGAAGCGCAACGAATGCTTTCGGATACTTATGGTAGACAAGCTCCAATAGATTCCAACTGCAGAAAATGGTTTCAACGATTCAAAAGTGGTGATTTTGATTTGAAAGACAAAGAACGGCCAGGTCAGCCAAAAAAGTTTGAAGATACGGATTTGGAAGCATTACTCGATGAAAATCCATGTCAAACGCAAAAACAACTTGCATTGGAATTAAATGACTCTCAATCAACCATTTGTGAACGTTTTCACGCAATGGGAAAGATTTGAAAGCTAGGAGAAGGGTCCCACATCAACTGAACGAAAATCAACTCAAAGCACGAATCGAAGCATGCAAAAAAAATCTTGCCAGGCACAAAAAACATAGTTTTTTGTATCGAATTGTTACTGGCGATGAAAAGTGGGTCTATTACGATAACCCCAAACGAAAAGCAGCGTATGTTGATCCAGGCCAGCCAGGAGGTTCGCAGCCAAAACGAGACATTCATTGCCAGAAGGTTATGTTGTGTATTTGGTGGGATCAGAAAGGTGTCGTGTATTATGAGCTGCTGAAACCAAGTGAAACGGTTACAGCCCAACGCTACAGCATGCAATTAATCAAAATGGAGCATGCATTGAAGATTAAACCGCCACGGATAGCGTCTAAACAAGACAAAGTTGTGTTCCACGATGATAATGTCAGGCCACATCGAGCAGACATCGTTAAAAAAAAATACAAGACTTCGGTTGGGATCGGCTTGATCAACCCGCGTACTCTCCAGACCTTGCTCCTTCTGACTACCACTTGTTTCGATCGATGCAAATGGGCCTGTCCGAGATATCCCTAGGGGCTTTCATCATTCGTTCATACAAATTTATACACAATATTCACGTCCTATTCATCATATATACGATTAAAATTTCTCGCCTATACCAGTGAATAAGATGTATTTCAAACTTCAGTGTACACACACACACACAGTATTGCTACACAGAATCGAAGAAGATCCGCACAAAAGAGAATGAAAAAACATGTCATAGACGAAATATACACGAAATATACACCAAATATATGCAGTTATGCACATTTATTTGCGCGTATTACAGATGATTTTGCAATATAGTTCACTATTTACAGTATAAATCGTATACATTTGAAGATAATAGCCCCTAGAGATATCCTTTCGAAATCCTGAAGGAGTGCGAAAATGGATCGATGAATGGATAGCCTCAAAAGATGAGGAATTCTTTCGACGCGGAATCGACAAGCTGCCAAGAAGATGGGCCGAAGTCATAGCTAACGATGGGCAATACATTGGTTAATGTACTCATTCATTTTGTTATTCGAATAAATATAGATTTTCACCCAAAAAACGGTAAAAATTAATCGATACACCCAATATATCAACAACTTTGATTGTTTTTTTTCTCTCATTAGATTTGTGTTCAATTTGATGACAATTACAGTGATTTTAGTAAGTAGTACTACTTTCTAAGTACTCAAAAACGAGAATTTTCCTAGATTTTTTTATTATCAATAGTTTACATTGTTTTTCGTATGAATTTCACAATCGAATGCAAAGCATATCAATAATTGTACCGTTGTTTTTTTTTTCGATAAATTTCTTGAATAAAATTGCATATAAATTTAATTCGCGTGTTGCGCACAGTTAATGATAGAATGATTGGTAAATCTCTTACGGTCGATTTTAAAGCTTTATTTTAATTAAGATATTGATTTCAATTCATAGGAAATTTAATGCATAATATGACTTTTTGTCTCTTTTTTTCATTCCATTGTAACGTTAAATTCGACTGAAACAACACACATTTGCACACCGCATTCGACCATCAATATATACCCGATAATGGATGAATTTGCCCCAACAATTGTTTAGTGGGTATGTAAGTATTGAATTAACACAAAACATTGATTTTGAACCGAAAAAGAAATGTGTGTGAATGTAGAATTGTAGATTCATCAAATAAATTGTATTATAACTGAAAAACGGGGTTTCTTTTATTCTTTTATTTTTTCGTTAAATAACTATATATTCTTCTATATTTCCATAATAATGATGGAAGGTATATAATTTATAAGCTTGTCATTTGCTTTAACTTCAAAATGAATTAAATTTTCAATTGATTTGCAAAAAAATAACGATTTGTGTTATTGAAATCGATGAGCATAAAAGTAAGACAGTCAAATTCTATATAGGAAAATTGAGAATTCGCACGAAGCTATTTTTAAATGAAATAAATGGAATGTGCGTGTGCTCTGTTTATTGTTCATGCGTGATGTCGAAGCAAGAGTTTTAGCAAGCGCATGCGCTTTTTTGTTACTTTTTCTGCTATTTTTGTTGCCCGATGTAATAATCCATTAAAATGATTATTTCAAGATATTTTCGTGGAAAACCTCCATCTATTTTACTACATTCAAATGAGTTAACGGTAATTCTTTTATAGACCGTACACTTTAAAAACGCGAGTATATGTCGATATCGATACAGTACCTAGCAGATCTTGTTGATTACGTATAATGCACATATACTGCTATATAGACACGGTTACTCAGGGGTCCCCCATTCAGTTTTTCGTATTTTCTATTTTTCTTGGCAGTTCACATGTATCTTATTCGTTCTCTCTCTTCGCAGTCGACTTGTGTAAATAGCTCATATCTCCACTAAAAACAACATTCGGTTTGTGTTTTATTCTATTTTTCTCTTTATCGGGTTCGGACATTTTTCAGTCAATAGCATTCACTTTCATACTTGCGTCTACTATTTTGAAATTCTTTGCTCTCATTTTTGTCGTTTGTCGGTTGTTTCATTGGTGTGTTCATATGTTAATTAACTCACCGCAATTTTGTGTTCGGGTCACAGTATATGATCCAAAAGTAATACTTTAGTTTTCAGATAGTGAGAATATCATTGTTTTAATTAATTTGGGACAGTAGCTGATCATGGCGTAACTACAAAGTGTCGAAACATAGTGTATGTGCTGTGTTCTATCATCTGAAATCAGAAAATATTTGTATGGGATCTGGGCAATCTATGAGCAAGGAAACACGCACTATGTTTTCAATAATGCACAAAAAGGAAAGAATTACTCGAAACGTTTCTTTTTTTTAAATAAATCCACGTTTTTAAAAATTTAATTATTTCCTTGTTGCATCGCTAAAAATTTTTTAGATCTAATATTTAAATTGAAATCTAGAAAATAAACCTATCTATGTATGTGAGTGAAAAACACATCTCGATGTGTATACAAAAACAGACATATATGAAAATAGAGAAAAAATAATTTGACCAGGGTAATGAAAAACTTTAATAAATAAAAAAACGTGTATATATGTGTGTGATTTGATTTAATGTTAAAATCGTGTAAATAGTCGGTATTATATATGTATTATTCGTCAAAAATATTTTAAAAGTGCACAAATACATATTTTCAAATTATGTTTACGGGTCAAAATTAGTTAAATTTCATGAAAATTCATTATAAGCAAAAAAAATGTATTCATGTGTATAAAGTGAATTCAAACTTAAGGTGACGATTAAAAGGTAATAAAAAAAATCAAATATTATATGTATTTAGAAAAATATCGAATACATCTTATAGTCAATTCTTAGTGATCACAAATAGAAGATTTATTAAGACTATTGAAACGTAGCAAAACGTTTTCTGCTTTCTTGCTCACATCATATTTAACTATATTTGAAGAAAAAAAAAATTGATAATGAAATGAAGCGTATTTGTGTGTTAAAAAGAGAAGGTTGAGATAACATTTATTTTAATTCTTCGTTAGAGCCATGGTGTTTTCTCAAACCAAAACTTTTAAGCATATAAGAACAGATATAGTTTAATTCAAATTTGAGTAAATATTTATACAATAGTACTACCTTTTATAACTGAGTACAACATGAATAAATCTTCAATTTTCTGTCAACAATTTATTTTTATTCCGTGATAGAAGTCAAAGTGAACGTTGTCACTCTTAATTTGTTAATTAAGCTTTTTTCTATATATCATTGCAGACATCAACCATAATGAAATATCAAAGGGTCACACAAAAATATTCAATATAAATACATGGTAATAAGATAAACATTTTTAATTTGAGTTCTTTTTCCAATGAGTTACAAGTTATCAATAGTTGATTGAATCAACAAACCTAACCATGACGTTTGTAAAATTGCAAATGAGACAAAAAATTCGAAATGATTGTAAAGATGACACCTCTAATTAATAAAACGTCCCCTTTTAAATACATTAATTAATTTTCAATACTGCTTCTTTAACATGTATGTCCATTACACAGTAAGAAAATATCAGCCGACGCTATACGCAAAACCGACTGGTACGTGCGCTCATACGTTTTTACATCTTTTACATCTAGTGACCAAACGATTTTTCGACTGATTCGTTACTCTTTGTGCGTATCTTCGCACAGTCGAAAAATCGTATGGTAATAGATGTAAAAGATGTAAAAACGTATAAGCGCACGTACCAGTCGGTTTTGCGTATAGCGTCGGCTGATATTTTCTTTCTGTGTAGTAGTGTACGAGATCAGATTTCTGGAGGGGGAGTGTCGTGTTTTCAAAAATCTCATTCAATATAGTGTAAAATTCTCAAATTCTGGTTAAAAAAAGCAAAAAATGAATGTGTGTAAAAATGTAAAAATGTGTATATACAACAAATGGTGATAATTAATAATGCTCATTTCAACAATAATTACGCATGAAATGCGGAAACATTGCAATTTTGTAACAAATAAAATTTAAGCTTACTGAACATTTCATAAAACAAATCCATGAATATCTCCGTGAATGGGCTATTTTAAATCTCATTCGTATATGATATGATAGTTTTTTATATATTCATTACATATTATTAAAATATTCAGCCATTTATTTTTCAAAGGGTTGAGGGTTTTCGTTACAACCATCCAAAGTATTCTCAAGCTCATTCAAACTTTTTATTTGGCAAAAACACTTAAAAATAGGTAAATTGGAACAAAAATTAACTAATATACAATACAACAATAAAATATTAAAATATAGTCAATTATAAAAAACATACCGCAATACCGTAAAAAGGTTACTGCATATGCAGTGTTTGTTTCTGCATTTATATGTAAATTGAATTCAATGCGCGTAACGTTTATTCTTTTTTTCATCGAAGAATGAGGCAAATCTAGATGCGAATGAAATGAAAGTAAAAAAACGTTCTACAATTTAATGAACACACAGGAAAAAATCCCTTTAATGGGTTTATATATTCTATATAAAAAAAATCGATTTATTAGGTTTCAGGATAATTATACAGGATATGTCTATGTGTGTGTAGTTTGACACACATAACAATGTCGCTGTTATGTTTTTTCTTGTGTGAAGTATTTTTAAAAAGATCCATTGTCCAAAAATATGCTTCAACTTATATGTGCCAGAAATTGCGTTCATCTTTAAGTTGAATTTGTCGTATAAAGTCTGAAAAGCGGCAAAAACAGTAGTGCTTTTTCATTCACGTCTTATGTGCCATAAATAGAGACATAAAAATTATTGTGATTTGGTTAAACTCTTATGATAACGAAATATACAATTCTGAATATACAATATACATAATTTTTGAATTAATCAAACTGTTCTGTCATATGTTGACATGTGCAACTTTCACTGCTGTTGGTTTCCTTCATTTTATACTGTTCGTTCTTAAAATGTATGGTGTGAATGAATTAAGAAATTTTACCAATGTTCTAATGATACATGGAGAATTTAAACATAGAAACGCACTACACGTAATCAATTATGGGCAATAAGAAACATTGCCGCATAGTACACCAATTTATAGTGGTGTAGACTATATCAATGACGATTCAATGATATCAAAGAAGTTCACTAGTATTTTTTGAGAGAAAAACGTCCATTCAGTTCTATGCGAGGGGAAATGATTTTTTTCTGGTTTGTTTTGATTGCGGATAAGACAATCTTTCTTATACTTATTAAGCTTGAAGAAGAAGCAAAATTCCATCTTGTTTCTGTATTAAGTTGAGCAAAATCTATTTTTAACTAACATATGTTGGTTAGAATTGTGTACAGTGGATATTGTAATGTGAGATACCTAAAAAATGTGCTAAGGGAGCGTACATATTTTTGAATCGATTTATCCATGCTGGTGGAAAACTGGCAATAGATGAAGGTATCTTCTTTTTTTTTCTCGGCAAATCATTTTAGTGTGCGTAGTTTAGATAGAGCGTAGTTCTATTTTTCTCGAAATATTAAACGTCCGATTTCAACAAGAACAGCATTATTGAATTTACGAATTAATACCGACCATATTTGAATCGAAATTATTGGATTTGATATTTTCCACTGAAGATTAAGGAATAAAAAAGTTCTCAATTATTTCAGTTTAATAAATAAAACAAATTCACATATTCTGTTTGAAGAAATATCTGAACATTTAGGGCCCACCGGATAAATCTTATTGTCCGACATCAAGTTATTTTTGTGAAAATTGAAATATGCTTTAACCCCCAACGCAGACTCACCACATATGCCACATACACACAAACAATAGTTACCACATAAGAGTTTCTATGCTGGTGTTTGTGAATTTTATATTCGAGCATAATACTGGTGGAAAAATTTAAATGTTGAGAGACATTTTAAAGGTTGGAATAATAGAGGTTTATACGAATAAATTCGAAGAACAAACCTCAATTGTGGACAATCACATGAGTCGTGACTTTCCAATATATCAATATATTCATTACAAATTGAATACGAACTAACGAAAACTCACCACCGGGCACAAAGAAAACGTTTGTATGTCTCTACATAGGTGTGTATGTATTTGTGTTTCTATGTAATCTAAGAGGAGCTTTCACAATAGCTGTAATCGTCTATTGAATGAAGAAATGGAAATATAAAATTCTCGATTTTCCTATGTATTTCAAAAACTACATAAAATAAAAACAAAATATTTAAAAAAACTCAAGGTGATATTGACAAATATTGCAAGGAATCGACATAATCTAATCGAATTTTGTCCAAAAAATAATAATAAATATAAATATTTTTACTTGTGCAGTGCTTCGTTCCAACAAATATCATTCCGTGGATTCATTTTTTAGCTTTTCACACATTAGATAGTTGGAAAATATAATAGTGATAACATAGACTTTATAACTACCCCATTTTCAAAGTTTTACGGAGACTTATTACAATTAGTGACCAGACTACATTATAATAAACATGATCACTACAATCTTAAATAAACAAGTATATAACAATATATATATCCTTTTGTTATTAACGTTTCAACACTTGAGATATTATTAAAATTCAGCTTACAGCTAATAACTGTCATTCCGATAAAATAATGTCATATAGTGAGCACTCTAAAAAATCGATTCTCATTAATTTCCAAATGAGAAGCAGTACTGAATTTACTACAAAAACTAAATACGAAAATAACGATAAAATACATACAATACATTAAAAATTAAATTAGATCAAAAAAAAAAAATTCAGTTTTGTATATAGTTTTTATATCATTTTCAAATTAGTTGCGTCGTACAAATAATGATTTAAACATAATTATAACTTCTAATAGATGCCGTACCATATTTAAAATAATTGCATTATTTTGAACATGTTCATTACAGTTGTATTATTCCTAAAATAATATGGATTAAAGGAGCAAGATGATTGACGACATTTTCTCAGAAATAATGAGACAAATTACACACACACACTTTGTATTTAGCATTTTTTATCAAAAGAAACAAATCTGCCAAATAAAAATAAAATTGCCAAATAAAAACTAAATCCCAAAGTGACCATAACGCAACAATACACATCAAATTCAATTTTTCGTGTTATCTTATAAAAAAGAGATTGGGAATCGTCGTCACGATAACAACTAGTAAACAATTTGAATTTACTGAAAGAGAGATAACACCAGAATCCAAAAAATAAATGCCAATCAAACATAAAATTAAGTTAATCGAAATTATTGAACTAGTATGATTGATAACAATAATTTCATGGATCAATTATATCACAATTCTGGTAAGTTGACTTCAACTTCAAAATGGCACAAATATAAATTTTGATATTCGCTTTACAAATATCAGGAACATTTTTCAACGCAAAATCATCTAATATCAGACAAAAATTCATGGTAGAAGTTTGAAGCCGGATTTAGGTTTAGTTTCAATTATTTCTAACGTTACCAATGAAAAAAAAAGGTTATGAAAAGCACCATCGATTTGAATAAAAAACAAACAAAATGAGAAACTCAAAACACGCAAACAACGTTCGTTTGCCACGCGAATAAACTTCTTATTTTAATATGAGTGCTTCTTCTCACCATGGTGCTTTTTCTCATCCCAATAAACAATTGTTGTGGCAAATTCATCCATTATCGGGCATATGTTGACGGTCGAATTTGGGTTCGGATTTGTGTGTAGTTTCAGTCGAATTCAATGTCATCAATGGAATGAAAAAATTCAATTAGTATGATACAAAAATTGACTTGATATCCTATTCAGTACACTATACTAACCTACAAGAATACTTGTACTGGGGCAAGGCCACAATTTAATCTTTTTTTATTTTTTTTTATTTATTTATTTCACCGCCTGTTCTCAGACTGAATATATGTATCACAATTATTTTACAATATCATTCGCAATGAAACACTACCCGATCGAATATCCAGCCACCAGTATTTTCGACTTCGGAGCAGCAGATATCGACTGTGTCCATTGCATATTTCTAAATCATAATACAATTGTCCTTAACTAGCCAATTTATCGATTATTAAATATCACATTGTCCAATTTAACAATATTATTTCTAAAAGTTTGTCTCGATGCCGATTCCAAAAATGTTTCCCTTATTAAATTAAAATTTCTACAAGCCACGTAAAATGGTTGATTGTGTGCATACTCCGATGTAAATGTTCTAGCTCTAATCAGTTCTGTATTTCTTAAATTTCTTTGGTTTTCGTTGTATTGCAGTCGTGTATGCTTGAATTGATGAAATTTTCAAGAGAACATATGCAGTCTTTTTCGAAAAATACCCGTTATGTGTGCGGTCAATTTTTGGTTGGTTTGCCAATTTGGCCACCCCCACATGACATTTTTAAGTCGCAATTGGCACCACTCGAGAGCTTACTTTAAGATCTTTCGAACGAATAGGCATATGTCCTGGTTATGTCAAGTCTAGGTCCCACAGCGACCGTATGAAATAATGGCCATTTTTGCATGATCTTTTGCATAGTTTGCCATTTATACTAACATTTTTATAGATTTCTTTTAATTTCTAATAAGATCAAACTATATTATTACTTATTATTTTTTTGCACTAATAAGTATAGTTATTAGAATGTTACTAGTCAGAAGACTAATAAGATGCATGTATCTTATTAGTATAGTTATTAGTATAGTTTCTCATCAGTATATTTCGATTGGTCTTACTAGAAGAAAATACTACTGAAAACAGCAGAAAGGCAGTCAAAATCACAAAAAAACTCCCGATCGATTTTTCTGGCATTTCCGATGGGAAATCGGCAAATATAAGCAAATTTGTGTTCACAAAGTGAACACCATACAGCCAACTACTTTTTGGCCCAAAATCAAAATCCGGTGGAGTTGGCTGATTGGTGGACTTTCAGGATTTGGCCTGGTTTCCAGAACTTCCAAAATGTAATTCCTGTATAAAATTACTCGAATAATATATATATATGGAATTACATTTTGGAAGTTCTAGAAACCAGGCCAAATCCTGAAAGTCCACCAATCAGCCGAATTCCAGCTGGCTTTAAGACCTTTCCAACGATATGCATATGTCCGGGCTGTGTCAAGTGGATGTGCCTCGCAGTCCGTGGAGACAAAAGTCAAAAAGTGACTTTTGGAGGCCGGCCAGGGCCAACATGTCGGCCATATCGAAAAGTGTCGGAACAAAAAAGTCTTAGTATTTTATGAACTTTAATCACAGAAAGTTTCAAAAAGATCAGAATCGAGTACGCATTATTGCGCACACACATACCAAATGACTTTCATAGGAAAATCATATGAAATTTTTTAAATGCGGAATTTTTCGAACAGATTGATCGATTTCGACGTTTGAGGTATCGTTGGAAAGGTATTGAGCTCTAAAATCAGAATATCGATGTTTCAGGTGTCAACGACCTCATTTAGTGCCGTCACAGAAACAATACATGTACACAAGCATCACACGTACAAGCCATAACAACAGAGAAAGATATGCTGAGCGAACATTCTAATACATGCGCTCACTACTTAGCTTCATCGCTGTGATACTTTGAGCGTACATGTGATGTTTATGTATTTGTATTTTTTCTGTGACAGCTACAGTTGACAATTTTGTATTGCACTATATGTTTTGCTCCGTAAAATCGATGACAATCAACAAAATGAATTTAAAATAATTTTGAGTATTGTTTTAATATTTTGAATTTCCTTCAGGATTTTTTTTAATCCATATGGATTTTTTATATAGAAAAATCCTAAAAGTATACAATTTAGTCCGACTGGGCCCACAGTGAACCCAAGATATTATCTCATCTTTGCGTTTTTCAAGATAAGATTTGGTATCTTATCTAGATACTATTTTGAAAATTTTAAATTCATCT